TTTGCTTATAATAATACGGTACATTCTTCCACGCAACAAACACCTTTCTTTGCCAATTATGGCTATCATCCACGACTTGATACTTTTGATTTTTCAAAAGTTGATAATCCTGCAGCAGAAGATATGGCAAATCGGTTGTCGGAGTTACATGCAATAATGAAGACACAATTGAAGGAAGCTCAAGAACGACAAAAGATAAACGCAGATCTATATCGTAAGGAGCAACCACAGATCAACGTGGGTGATAAGGTATGGCTACTTCGTCGCAATATCAAGACCAGTCGACCTTGTGACAAATTGGACTATCGTAGGCTTGGCCCCTTTCCTGTTTCTGAACAGATCAACCCAGTTGCATATCGGTTACATCTACCGGAGTCAATGAAGATCCATCCTGTATTCCACGTGTCTCTTCTTGAACCATATAAGACAGTGGATATACAAGGAAGAAGACAAATGCCACCGCCTCCTATAGAAGTAGATAATAATGAAGAATTTGAGGTGGAAGAGATATTAGACTCAAGGCGGCGCCGAAATAAGCTGGAATATCTTGTTCATTGGCACGGATATGATATTAGTGAGTGCACATGGGAGCCATCCAGGAATCTAGCAAATGCATCAGCTAAAGTCAAAGTTTTTCATCAACGACATCCATCAAAACCAAGATGAAAACCTCTCTTATAAAAGAGACAAGATTGAGGCAAGATAACATTCAATTTCCTATCCTTGTTTGTAACTTCTTTGCATTTGTGACGCTAATTAGATGGAGAGCCAACAACCAGCGGATTCAACTCAAGAACCTTCGTTTGCTGACTTACCGGATGAGACATTGTGATTGTCACAACCTTCAAGACGACGCAACCGAGATGAAGACCCTCAAGAACGACATGTTCTTCCTCGAATAGATGGTGAGATACAACGCATTTGGTATCACGACCTTGGAAGAGATTCTCGATGTTTGGTGATATTATTGGAGATAGGAACGACTCCTGATGGTGTTTCAAATGTATTATTTGAAGGAAGTTATGAAGGCCTCAACAGTGATCAAATAATAGGGTGGTCTTCTCGCCCTGGAATGGGACACTATCGATGGCTAAGAGGACCCATCAACTATCTTCGAAGAGAACAAAGATCAGAGTATGTAGCAAATACAATTCGCCGCATATTAGATTTTTTCAATATATAATCACCGCTCCTCGTGGAACTCGTCCCTAGAAGGGGGGGTAATGTCACGGACATACATATAATTACCTATATGAATAGATAAAAGTATGTAAAAGTAGATAAAAGTAGGTTAATTGTGTAATATCTTCTAGAGAAGCTTCTTAGAAGCTTCATAGACGCTGCTTTGACTTTATAGGAGTCTATAGTTGACTTTTAGGCTAGAAACTTGGTCAACAAGTTAGCCATGTGCCACACATGTTGGAAGCTTAAAGAACAAGCTAACTACGTGGTCCATCCATAGAAAACTTGCCTTGTAAGCAAAGGCATGTGGCCTAGAAAGTCAACATATATTGGAGGTCTTATAGAACATCGCCATGTGGCTTCTAGTTAGATAGTATATATAGAGGCAAGAGTGAAGCCCTCTTCACTCTTGTCAACTCCTTTCTTGCTTCTAGTCCAGGTTCAAGAGTCTTTAGTTTCTTGTCTTGTGGCAATAGCCATTCCAGTTTCCTTTTAATATACCTACTTGTTTATATTTTGACTTATTATATCGAGATAGCCTTTTGGTGTATATTTTTCCTCATCGAGTCTTTGTCCTTGACACTTACTTGTGGAAAGATGTGGTTCTTCCACCATTCACCTTGTGGTCTTCTTTCACGTGTTGGATATCTTCTCTCATGCAAAGAAGATGAGCCTTCATGCACCTCTTGCTGCCTTCTATGGCTCATACACTTCCTTCTCTCATTCATTGGTTGATATTCTTCATCTTCATTCTTTTCATTGTCCTTGTTGTATCTTGCTGGAATTGAAGTCTTTATAGAGTTGGGCTCTTCTTCAATGATATCTTCATTTCCATCTTCACTTTGAGAATGCTCTTCTTCATCTTCTTCTTTGTTTGCTGAAATTGAAGATGTATCCACAAACACACCACTACTCCCACTTGGACACATCTTTCACTTTTCACTTGCACTCTTATACTCCAAGAACTCTACATCACGACTTTTGATGATCTTTTTGGTGTCTAAACACATGAGCCTATATGCCTTGGTACCTTCACAATATCCAAGGAATGCACATCTTGTGCCCTTTGCATCAAGTTTGCCTCTCATACTATCTGGAACTTTAGCATATGCAATGCATCCAAAAATCCTCATATGAGATAAACAAGGTTTCTTACCAGTCCAAGCTTCTTCGGGAGTCATTCCTTCAAGTGCACTTGTGGGACACCTATTTCTTGTATATACGGCATTTACCACAGCTTCCGCCCAATACTCATATCCAAGCTTTTGAGCATGAATCATACTCCTTGCCATCTCCACAATGGTGCGATTTGCTCTTTCAGCAACTCCATTTTGTTGTGGGATATAGGGAGTGGAGGTTTGTCTTGCAATGCCTTCATGCTTCAATAACTCATCAAAGTCTTTGGACAAATACTCACCTCCATTGTCCGATCGCAGCACCTTAATCTTGTGCTCACATTGCTTCTCCACAAGTGCTTTCCACTCCTTTTGCTTTCTTTTGGTCACTTCATGGGCTAGTCTTGCCGTGACATAGTCCAAAGTAAGATCTTTTCTTGAAATTGACTCCAATGCCACAATGAGGGAGGAATAGGAGTCCGGAAGGCTTGAGAGCAATGTCATCACAACATCTTCTTCAGGTAAAGGCTTGTCAATAACAGCAAGTTGGTTTGCAAGTGTTTTTACCTTATTTACATGAGCCATGAGATCTTCACCTTCTTCCATCTTCACGGTGAAGAATTTTTGCCTTGACCATAGTACATTGGAGAGATTTCTACTCTCATAGACGTTGCAAAGAGTCTTCCATGCCTCTGCTGCCCCTTTGCAAGAAATGACATGAGCAAAGTTGCTCTCATCTAAATTGGTGGCAATTATGCCAAAAGCCTTCTTTTCTCGTCTTTTGAACTCCTTATGCTCCTTGATGCTTGCCTCTACCCCAGGTGCCTCTTCCTCCTCACATACAATCTCCCAAAGATCCAATGACGCCAAAAGTAGCTCCATTTTGGCCTTCCAGTGGTGAAAGTTGTCACCTTTGAACTTTTTAACCATTCTCAAGCTATCACCCTCAAAAGATGCCATCTCAAGCTACACGTAGGTCCAAAAAACTCTTGATTTGGAGTTGTAATGGAGAAGATATCACTACTCAAAGATCGCTGAACCACAAACCCAGAATTTGCTGTTTTGCAACTTTTTGTAAATTATGAGTCCAAATCACGTCTAAATGGTGGGGAATGAATTGTAAAGTAATTCTATGGCTCTCATAAGTCTCCCTCACGTCACTCCACTCAAAAAGACTCACTATCTCATAAAACTTTCAAACACTAGTGTTACTTCAGCAAAGACACTATCAAGGTCTTGCACAAAACTCATATACTCACAAATCCAGGAGCAATGACTTCAACAACACACTAGAAACACTCTACCATAAGATCCCAACCACCAAAATAAGCAACAAAGAAATAATGCAAGAACAACTTACTTGGTAAGAGAGTGTGGACCCATAACCTATTGAAACATAGAAAGCAAACTCTACACAAGCAAGTTAGGACCAGCAAGGTTGCACTTCACAAATAGAATGTGGTATAAGATGATTCTTCCCATGCCAACCCTTTTCTTATATACTAGTACCAAGGTACCATGTGTTACAACCCATATGGGATATCTCTTAGGACCAGCCCTCTCCTTGTATTCTAAGGCACTATAGACCAGCAACTAACCTTGTAGGATATCCCTCATTACTCATATACTCTATTGACCATTAGCAACAACTAAATGAGTTCTTTCCTTCAACACAGATAACACTTCTGACGAGCTTTTCTAATTTCTTTACATATCCTCAGTTGTAAGTTGGCTCTCACCCATCACTCCAAATTATCCATGCATATGACAATGGTGTCTTCCTCAGAGAGAAGCACGGTGAAGAAGTGCCGAACTTTGCCCTAATTTTTGACATTCTAAAACCACTCAGGTGAGAAGATTCTTCTTCGCCTGTGTCATGAAGCATATGTCAAATAACGCCATCGCTTCAGCAAGCAGAAGTACACTATCCATTTCGAGACTGGATGCGATGAAATTGCTGGTAACAACCGTGTCGACTCATGCATGAGAAACTGCAGCTACTAGTGAAGCACAGAAGAACACAATATTAACTTGTTACACCTGCTGCTCTGAAGGGATTGCTTGCACCAGTGAATTGATTTCCACCCTCCAGCCCTGCGAGAAGTGGGGCTATAAACCAGTTAAAACAATTTAATCCATTCTTATGTATATATATATATATATATATACATATACAAGAACGCATATGACAATAATAATACTTTATGAACAGGTTAATAAAAATAGTATATAATAACAAGCATCATTTATGAGGCTCTTATCATTTATTTATTATTACAGGGTTCTTGACTTAATTGAATTTTTTTTGAATAAATGTTGAATTAATCAATTCTGCAAACCAGTTTTTTATTTGATTGTGTGTAACATACAACTTCATTTAAAATAAATAAATAAACACAAAAAACTTAATGTGTGAAAATCACTAGGATATCTTTCTGTTTTTTTAAAAAAATTATCAAACACATTCAATTAGTTTTTAGTTACACCTAATTTTCAATGTTTGGTTATGAATACATGAAAATACCTATACTCTTAGGGACCATACAATTATTTTTTGCCATATTTAATTTGCGTTTATGTTGACATTTTAATCATTTGTAAAGCACCTCTATCTTAACCATCCATGCATAACTTAAATCTTTCACAGGCTATATCTCCCACTTATAATCAGTAAATTTCTGAAGCCATACCAAGGAAAGTAGATAAGGAAAATGTTGGATACATTTTTATAAATCAAAGATTACAACATACATTGTGCATATACTCTACATGTAACATATTTGGCTACCTAGGCACATATTACATCAATCTGGACACAACACATACCCAAACAAGCAATTCCACAACATGCTAATCAAAAGGAAACTGGTTGATGGAATGTACTTATTGAGACCCAAGTGACCAATCCAGCCATTTCTCGATCATGATATGAGCCTACACTAGTATTGTTGTCTTTTTACTTTTCTACTGTATTTCACAGTGACGTATCGGACCAATCACTGTATAAGACAGGGTTCCTGCAAGGCCATAAATGAGGAAGAATGAAGTGCTAGATTCAACCATTATAGTATTCTAGCTAGCAGCAATCAATTCATATGCACACTCCTGCAGTTTGAAGGCCCCACCAACTTACCCTCGGTTCATCATACAAAGAGCATGCATTATTAGAGAGATTGGGGGGCCACCTCCCCTAACTCACAGGTCACATTAGCGGGTGACCCGCAAAGCATCAGTTCATGGGTCGCTGTAGAAACTGAGACATCTCGCAAACCATACGCAACTTCCACGCACAAGTCGTGTAGGAGGAGAACACGTCCAGCTCGAATAATCATGACATGGTGCCCAGTGATGTCGGATGGAGACTGAAGCTCCCACAGAAGAGGAAAAGCTCAAATACTGATGCTCAGATTGAAACTTTTGAGAGATATCAGGCGGTTCCCTAAACAAGGGTATATGGGAGGCTAACCTTCCAGAAAGCTCCCCAAAGCTTTGAACAGCAGGCCTACGTTTTAGGGTCTCGTGGAGCTCGATGATTCTCTCCCAGTCTGATTTAAAATTGAAGAGGGTACCTCTGGGCTAGCCCAAATAAGCCCAGTGTCCCACCTGTGTGCAGCAACACTACTTCTTCAGCGTCGTCACCAGCTGCGCTATGACACAGTTTGTTGGCCGACTCCCACCCCGCAAGAGTGTAGATAGGGTCTAATAAAATGCCCGTCTCTCGTGCAACACGTTGGCAAATTTCTATCTCACCACGTAATATTCGACCAAATCTGTCATCATGCACAAGAGAATAAAAAAGCCCTGAGTACTGAGATCAATAGTGTAAATAATCAGTTTCTAGGAACCAGATACAGACCTACACCATTGCTTAAACAATGGTGACGATTGGTTGGCTTCAGCTTCTAAAATCTATCCATAGTAACCTACTTACTTACGAGGTTGGCATCGCTCTTGCCAGAGTATCGGAAGGTCGGAGCCTTTTTGACACAACTCCACCTCCCATGTGTGCCCATGATATTCGTGGGCGAACTCAGCGAGTAGTCTATCAGCCTGCTTCTCGTAACCTTCACGAGTATCTGCAAGCATCACGCCCACCACTTTCCAAGGTAGTCTGCGGAGGAAAATTTAACTGTTTCAATCATCCAATAAGCTGACATATTCATCCAACCAACAACATGAGCATTAAAATGAAAGCATGGTATTTAGAAGAGGAGAAGATGCCACCTACCTCTTGAGAGCAATGCCAAGAGCCAGCCCGACGGCTGTGGTCCCAGTGCCACTGTCGACAATGACATGCAGACGCTCTTTCTTTCCAAATTTAGATGGATGCGACAAGTAATCCACCAGCCGAATCAATCCTGGGAATTGAAGTTACGACATTCTTTCAGTCACAACCACTACAAGAGGAGAGGGGGAAAAATCAAAACCAACACCAAAATCAAAATCAAAATAATAGCTACTGCATAAGATGCATAACTAGTTTTTAGTAACTCAGCTCCAAGAATTCAAGTTTGCATGCTTTAGAACACATAATCCATCGAAACAATGGGTTGGCTTCCGAACCTGGCAAAGCATGGCAATCACCAGCACCTTCGTTCAAAATTGCCACTTTCCTTCCGTTTCCACTTGCAACCTCACCCGGAACCATTTTCCAACCAGAAAATGAAGATTCATTTAATATTTTGTGATGTATAGAGATGACGCAAGAAGGATCACCAGCAACTTGTAAGGCGTACTTGTGAAGCATCGCGTGCCTGTCAGCATATTCTGAACGAGGGATGTATGTAACATAGCCATACATTCCGGCCACTAGATTATACCCTGTTGGAATAGCTGGCCTCTCTCCTCGAAGCAACAAGTGAGCCTTCATGCCAACCTCCGCGCATGCAACAGCTGTAAGCCACCGAGGATTTCAGTCGCCTCATCCACAACACAGTGTCGGCTCTCAGTACCTCGAATATCATTTGAAGTTAGTAAGGGATCGTTAACGACGGAAGTACAGGACACACACCTACGGCAGCCGTGTGTGCACTTTGACAACCTCCGCACGTGACCTGTTAAAAATCCCACCATGTGTCCAGGAAACAGGTTACTTGCTTCAGAAAAGTCTATTATGTCAGTCCAAGGGTAAGCAAATCTTACAGGGGCAGTACGGTAGTTCGAAAAAAATAACTAAAAAATAAGATTGGTGCTTCTCGTACACTTGATCTGAGTAGCTTTCAAATGGCAACTCCAATTGTAGAAATAGCAGAAGCTCTGAAGTTGCACACAGAAATTGGAGGTACAATTCAGGAGCTGGACGACTCACAACATCAGTGACTTCATGCGCTTGAAGAAGTGGAATAATTGCATCCAGTTTCCGAAGCTTGTTGCCTCCCATCATAGGATGAAGCAAGTCGTCTCGAATTACGTGAAAACAAGGGCCCGAAAAATCTCCTATTTCGTCCACTCGCCATCGCCCTTCCCTAAACCCCACTTTCGTCGTCTTGGTCGCCGCATTGGACAGCAGCCATGGCCTGGCAAGGATTTGGTCCCAGCCATAAACCTCTTCACACTCTGTCTCTCTGCTTCCCTACAGTATTCAAGGAACTTCTCACTCTCCGTCGTACTCTTCGTCATATGATACATTTCGATACTTACGTTTCCAACCTAACCTAATTCCAAATTAATGCTGAACAAGAGCTTCCACATGCAACTTAAGAACGAGGTTTGAAATCAGTGTTGAAAGCGAACTCATCATTATCCAGCGTCAATGAGGACAGATGCGATCGCTTGGCACTATTCGTTAGTAATGCAGGCAGGGGGTAAACCCTACTTTCGCTCATTGAATCAGGGTTTAGGTCTAGGCTAGTCATCCCGGGGGAGGCGGATATTGAAGTATATATATACACACATTTAATAAAATAATACGAAAGTAAAGTAGAAATCCTTGCTAAAACCGCACCCCACTCACTTCAATTGCTTCACGCGCAACAACAGATTGGCAATCACGCTCAATTTCTCCAAAATCCAAGAACCCACCCAACCTGTTGCCGTAACGAGCCCACAACAGAATGCCAACACGCTAACTAGGTGAGTAAAGTCGAAGCGAACGAGAAGCTCACCTGCCGAGCGGAAACTAGAACGGAGCGCGCTTGATTCTGACGCCACGCCAATCCCCCAACAGAGCCCTCCCGGGGGCGATGAAAAAGAGGGCCAAGATAGCTCGCCCTGCGCCGAATGCACTGCTGGGGGTTGGTGAAGGGCCCCATGAGCGTGCACCCGCAGCTCCACGGCTGCAATCCCAGCTTCCTCATAACATTAGGTGAGCTAACCCACGCGACACCACGAGCTTACCCCTCGGCTTGACCATGCACCAAGGAATGAACTTCACAGGGACCGACTCCGGATCGCCGTCTGTCGACGAGAAGACGATGTACGTTACAAATGCACAACTGGGTCCTTTATTGCAGATTCAGTTACGAAGGACGGAGGACCCGTCGCTCTTTTGTGAAGCACGGTTGAGGCGCCCGCGACCGTTACCCGTGTGTTGAAATTTCTCCTGCGAGGATGGTCGCAGATACTAAATATGGCTACGATACAGTACCTATCTGCTTCATTGTATTGTACGCTGAACTTTCTGTTATCTCGACCTACAAAAGGAAAAAGCCTCGCATGCTCGGTTCCCTGGACTTGCTGTGTCGACATTGCCCTCCATCTCCTTCTTCACATGCTTGCAGCGGACAACTGACGCAGACTTGACGCCACGTACATACCGCCCTGCTGCACACCTTGTCGCAATCGGGTGCCTTATTGCACTTGGGAATTGGGTGTGTGGTGCGGGCAGTCCCCCGATTCTGATAATAGTTTCGGAGCAATAGAGGTTTTGTTTGGGATTTCGTTGCTGTAAACAAGTCGTGGTTGCTACACGAGTTTTTCTTTCTTTGATTCTTTGTAGTTTAGTTTTTTCTTCCTCCTGGTCGCCAGTTGTTGTGTTTGCGCGGGGACCGATGGGCTAGGGCTCTTGTATGAGAGTGCTCTCTATATTTCATTCTGGTTTGATAAGTTTTGTTGCGGTGGAGGATAGATTTTCTGGTTCTTAATTGTTGACGTCAATTAGTGAAGTGGGATTCTCTGGTTGCATTCCTGTGTATAAACATTGGGCGTTGCTGAGTGAGTGAGGGTGTGTAAGGAGTGTGAACGTGGCGATGTTCGTGGGTGGAGAGAGAGAGAGAGAGAGAGAGAGAGAAAGAGAGAACGAGAGAGATATACAGGGTGGTGAATGAGGAATCTACTGAGTTATTCAGGTAAAGGAGAGCGTCACTTATTCATCGGTACTCTTCCTGACTCTATCCGTGCGAGAGGGCGTGGCTTCGTCGCTACCTCAATACCTTCTGTCGTGATCCCCCATCACGAGCGTATTGAACATAGAACCACAACAACGAAACCAAAACGGCGAGGGTGAATTTCGGGTGTCACGATTCAGCGGGAGCGGAGTCTGATGTTGTTTATTTTTGAGTTCAACAGTTACCTTGAAATTTCCTTTGCGTGAATTCACCAATCTTAATTGGGTTTCCTTTCTCTCGTATGCACACTGAGAGAGGAAGCCTTGGAAGGGGTACTGTAGAAATTAGAGAATCTGTACGACATCATCTTGCAGCTCCCGGGATTCTGTTAATTGCGCTGTTTGGAGAATTTGAGAATCAGCACAGGATCGAGCACCACCATTGGTAGTCCTGCGATGCCGGGTCTTCGTAGACCGCAGAACATAAGTTCGTACACGAACTCTATCTACCATGCTGACATGCACACCTCTGCCATGGGGCAGCAATATTCATGGGATCGAGAGAAGTCGATCATCCACCGAAGGCCGACAACCACCCGGCAAGCAGTGTTTCGCCCATCCCAGTGGCTCAAACTGAGGAACAATTATCTGGGCGTGAGACACTTGAGCACAGCGCCTGCAGCTCCCGCAATGCCCGCAGTGCCAGCGTGCTACGGTAGCAATGAGAGTGACGACCTCCAGGCCATGGTGCACGATTTTATCGAGAACGATCCTTTGGACCACACAGAGGGAGTAGATAGCGATGGGTCTACGTCTGGCAAGAAGGTCACTGAAACCTTTCAGGTGCGGTAACTGTTTACAGCAATTCTGGGGTCTGTACTTTAGACCACCATTGCACCTAAAATCTTGGTCCGGGATCGTGGTCTGCGATGTTTGATATATGGACGTGTGAGCGTAGATCTGATGTACCATATTCGTGGTATCTGCAGATGCGGATTTCGCAATACAGCGCGCTGGAACGGGAGCTCCTAACTGAGGTGAAGCTGCTCCTGCTTTCCATGAAGGGGGATTCCGACCTTGTTTGTGGGCCTGACGGCTCTGATTGCAAAGGAGGGTGCGTGAAGCGGTTTGTCGTCAGGCATCTCAAGTTATCTGGGCATGATGCTTCTGTGTGCAAGTCTAAGTGGCTAAGCTCCGGCCGCGTCCCTGGAGGTATCCACCACACTCTAATCCATTCCCTGAATTCTCCTACTGATATCATTCAAATGCGATAATGAGCAGGAGTGTATCCGCTTCTAATAGTGATTTTTCTCAAGAACTTTGCGCAAAGATGTGACCGAACTCTGTGTCTGAACACTCACACGCCTGCTTCTGTTTCATTTCTGTAGGCGAATACGAGTACATTGACGTCGTCTTTGATGACGGCCAGCTAAAGGAACGGCTCATTGTGGACGTAGACTTCCAAGTTCAGTTCGAGATTGCAAGACCCACCCAGCAATACGAAGCTGCTTTGAAGATTCTCCCTGCCATCTTTGTCGGCTCCACCTCCAAGCTTCAACAAATTTTGGAGTTCATGTCGGAGGCTGCAAAAGCATCCTTGAAACAGAGCGACATGCATCTCCCTCCGTGGCGCACGCTCAACTACATGAGCTCGAAGTGGCTGTCAACTTACGACAGGAAGATCGATCCAGTCCCGGCTTCACCAACCATACGTCCCCGCAGCTGTCACTGGCAGAAGAATAGGTTGGTCTTCCCGTCCATGGCAAAGCAGTGTGGGGAGCAATTGAGGCTTACAAAGAGCTCACTCATTGAGGAGATGAAATCGTCTGGCGTCGTCGGCAAGCTTACTCGTGCGCGCAGCGCGCATGAGAATGTGCTGGAGCGACATGCCCTGTAAGTAACTCGGTGGATGGCACAAGATTGCATCAAACTTTTGCCCCAGAAATTCTATCTGCCCTAGGAGTGTTTGCCCAAGCTTAGAATCTTATAATTCTTTTTGAATAATCGAGGTCATTTTTTTGTTATACATTTTCGCAGTTTGCGATTTGTAATTTCTAGAGCTTTGGGCTTTCGTTTTAAGAGTTCAGGATAGCGATAGACGGTCCTTTCTGAGGCAACCCCGCGGTTATGTTAGTTGATTTGTAGAGAAAGGGTACTTCCAGCAGCTGGATTGCAACGCGCTATTATGCATTGCCCACATCAAAAAAAAAGAAAAAAAGAAAAAGTAGAGAAAACTCTCACAAACATCGCGGCATCCTTACCTTGTCACCAGCAGGCCATGAAATCCATGATACTTGCTGAATGACCTTGAAGAGTTTAAGATAGAATTCAACCCACGGCTTGATACACTTAAAGTTCAACCGTTTGTTATGTATTTTTCAAAAGGTTTGGACAGATTGTTAATGTTCATCCTGCAGCTGCCTGGCTAGAGGCTGTGCTCATAGTCCTGCCGACAGCTGGTTTTTTGTTTAGTAGAAGAAAGTTATGAAAAATCAGTCATTAGGTGACCTGCCATCTGAGATCCCTTTAGAGGCAAGAAAACTCTGACCTGCACAGATTTTCAATCTCTTTTTCTAATAAAATGCAGCATGCCATCAAAGACGACTGGCTGCTTGCTCTCATTTATTTGTGAATTAGTCTTCCCCTTCCTCACTTCTCTTGGCTTATCTCAGTGACCAGTGTTTTGTTCCTGTGATTCAATCAAAGGCGAGAACCTGTATTTTAAAGCAATATCAATCAAACTGAGAAGTATGCCGTGTGTAATCATAACGAGATTTTTCCTCTGGCTAATTTGTTTTTTGTATGTTCAGTATTGAGCGTTGTGTATTGTGTGCTCTGCTGATCCCTTTACACAGACATTGTGTTAAACGTGTTAAGAAACATGGGGAATCTTTTACCAGTGGTTTCAGAATAATAATATTATCAAAAAAAACTTATTATTGTGGGTATGCAAAAGCATTCTCTGTGCACAGATAATGTCAGTATTCAAGGTTGATGTGCATGGCCAACAGAAATCCTCCAAATAATCAAAAGTAAATCCAATCATTTCCCAAAAGCTTGTAAAGAGAGCTTGTACAGTGACAATCAAGTTTTTCATATCTCAAATCCAAAAATATATATCAAAAGTAACAGTAAAAGTTGTCATGTCAGAAAATCCACAAGATCATGAAACATTCTTCAACTGATACCACTTTGCTCATTCATTCACAATACATGTTTCTGACAGGATTGAATATCATATATGTACTGAGGTACACCACATGCCACCCAATATCTGAGAAACCCTAAACGCCTTTTCACCTTATTTATGACCCTTTCTTTGCACTGCCTCCATGAAATTGACAAACACCATCTTTTGCTCAATCCATGGCCCTTGGGAAATGGAGACCTGTCAGCTCACTGCAACAGGACACAGCAATCCAAGCTCACAATTTACTTAAACACAGCAAGAAAGTGTCAGTTGGGTTGCCTTATAATCCACCCAAATCTGCTTTTCCAAAAGCAGCAAAACCAAAGTTGAGGCAGTGAAAAATCCAAAGACTTTTTGTGACTGCAGAGATGGGGATTTTGCCTTGGGGTTGAGCACCATCATGACTATGGAAATGTACTCACCTTGGAATCTGTTCCCCCCTGCCTTCTAACTATGAACCTGTCAAAGCAAGCTTTGAAGTTTGCACAAACTTACTTGCAAGCCCAAGAATTAGGGCTCACACAAGCCCTAGATTTGGGGGTCATTTTGCATTGGTCAATAGTCACAAAGATGATACCATTGTGGATTACAACCCTTCCAAGCCATGAAAAGTTGTAGGGTGGTGTGTCTCAATGTCGGCGATTTTTGTGAATTATGTCTCACACAGGCCCCTAAAATTAGGTATCATCTTGTGTAGGTGAATGGTCATTAAGGTGAAGTCATTGTGAATTGTAACCATTTCAACTTGTGAAAGGGTCATTCTGTGGTGTGTTGGGGTCTCAATGTTGGTGACTTTGTGCATATTTGTCACTTTGTATAGTGGGCTGAGTGTGGTCATATACATGTGTGTGTGTGTGTGTGTGTATATATATATATATATAGAGTTCTAATTTTAGTGACAATGAGTGTTGATGAGGGGTATCCATATTTTATGACAACTACACCAAAGGTGGCCATAGTCATTACATAAGTTTAACATGAGGCTATGAACATGGAGGTGTTGACATTAATAAGATTGGTGAGGTCATGGGATGAACTAATATCATCATGAAGATTCCTCTCATCTAGCCTTGAAAAAGCTAGACAATGGTGCACAAAAATTTGAGTCTTGTGAGGTGTTAGATGACAAGACAGTTAGACATTACAATTGAGCATATACAACTTGTGTGGCTCTTGTGATAATTTAAATGTTGGTTTGAGTATAAGCAAAGAATGTCACCTTCAAAAGCCATTGAATGAATTACATTACAATTTATAATGTGGACATCCATAGATTCTTTATATTTCAATATTAATACTACTTTCAAAAATAATAATAATAATAATAACTTGATTACATTTGGATATGCAATACATTTATCACATTTATATATTTATGCATTAAAAAAAATCTGTCTCATATATGATATATATGGTATTAATACATAATCTTAGACACATATCAAAATTGGACAAATTTCCTCAACTTCATTTTAATTCCGTAAATTAACAAGCCTAAAACAACATTGAGCCTTTTATTTGTCCATTTATTCTCTATAATACCTAAATGAAATTGTTGCAAAAATGTATAATGGATTTCTCTTCGTAAGCATGGTATTAATATATATATATATATATGTGTGTGTATAATTTAGAACCCATATGATACTACATGCACTACAATATGAAGTAGAGTATGAGGTGAAAACTCCACTTTTACACACTTTAGCACATGCAGTATGAGTAATACGATCACATACCACGGTTATAGGGACCGATTGGACGCGACAACGCAAAGGACAAAGGAACACAATCCGAAGGAGGAGGGGGATTCGGTGCCAACGCTCCTAATTGGAAGGCGGCAATAGGGCCAGCCACGACGTCGGTCCATGTCAGCGGACCCATCAACCGACCCCTCCTCCCCCCGAACATCAGACACGACCGGGCAAAGCTTTTGTGTGCCTCGTGCCTTTTTTCCGGCACATATCGACTTTTTCGGTGGCGCGGAGAGTCTGATGCAACCGAGTAGCGTGCACAATTTGCTTGCGCGCAATCTCTCTTGTTCGATGAGGGCACTGCACCCTGACTGACTGCCCGCCTGCGTGGATGATGCTACAGTGGCGCACGATAGGCGGAGGCGGCGATCGGGGTGCCGGAGACGGCGCAGATGGCGCAGGCAGGCGGAGGCGCGGTGAGCCTGCCACGAGCAGGGTCAGTCGGGGGGGAAAACGACGACGTGGTGGGCGGATGGAATTTGTCCTGACCGTGAGGGTTTGATTGAGTGTCGGTTTTGGGGTCTGTTGGATCGGCTGGGCGTGGGAGCAGACTCGATCGTCGAAGCCTTGTGAGATGGGTTTTTGTGGGAGACAGGGTTTGGTGGATGGGGGTGGATGGTCGGTGGGTTTCGCGAATGGCAACGGTTTCGACAGTGAATCTCGGAGCTGAGCAGTTGGAGGTTCGTTCTGTGAGGGCAGGTTGTGGATTGCTGGAAAGGACGGATTCGTGGATTGGCAATGGCGATGGTTGGCGTGATTTGAGACTCTTGCGCAATTGGGGGAGGTGTGTGCATTTTCCATCTAAGAAATGGCTCTTCATTTATGATTTTGAAACATTGAATTTTGATCTGTTTGAATTTGCGATTTCTGCATGGTATGCGTGTTACTGCACAATCAGATCGAGAATTATTTTCAGTTTTTGTGGTAACATGGTCCGTGTTGGTTTTGTCTACATCGTCTGATCAGAACTCGTGCATTCTAAAAGAATTCTTTGTTTCCACTGAAGTGATATTCTCTATCACATGTTAAGTCCCAGTGAAAAGCACGTACACTACATGGATATACTCTTGAAGTCTCTCGCTGTTCAATTGCTGTTTGTTTTTTTAATATAAGCTTCCACTAACGCAACCAATCTGAAAGCCAATTTCGTTTCAGCAATGCACATTGACAGGTATATCAGATTTATAAATCCTCTTAGAACAAGTCCCTGACATTCCCTTTTGTATGGCAGAAGAAAATTGGAGATGAGGACCTTGAAAGATGTGCTTACACGGTAAAAACAGATGTAATGCTCGGTAATGTTTAACTCTGTGTCATTTTATGGCATACAAATCATCTGGCAGCAACATGGAAAAAGGGAATCAGAGAATCGTTGGCAGCCCCTACGAAGCGTTATCGGGTGATGAAGAAAACAGCCCTTACCTATGCCCTTCCGCAGGCATCTACGACAGGCCTCTGCCTTGCTGTGGTTGCGGAATCGGCTGGTTCTCGTTTCTGATGGGCTTCATCTTCCCCTTGTTATGGTACTATGCCACGATTCGATTCTTCTGGACCCAACGGCACAACGACCCCAGGGAACGGCCAGGTCTGGCAGCTTGTGCAATCGCTGCACTTGTGGGTACCGTGACGTTGGTCATTGTTCTTATAGTCCTGTTCGTGCAACATGAAGGCTTTGTCGTCCTCCTCTCTTCAACTACAACCTGAAACGTAAGCCTTGATGCACTTCAGACAGTACTTTGTGCCACCAGTGTGATCTGCTGTGTAATTAACTATGATAGTCAGCTTTGTAGCCATCACGTACTACAGGGGAAGTTTGTCCCATTCTTTGGTTTACAACATTTTGTAGTGAGATTCTTATTTCATCATCTTTGATAGAAGATTCTGAATATTTTCGGAGATTACTTCTTTTGATGAGCTGCTGCTGGCCATTGACGAGGGTGAACGTGTAGGTGTTATTAAGTTTTCATAAAGTGTACAGAAATGAGTTTTGCCAGGTTAAAAGAGAAGCCACTGTTAACGATCTTCAATGTATTATTTGAGGTACTCGTCATACGTGAATGCTCTGTGATTATGATGTGACATTAAATGTTTGAATTATGGGATTTCTTTTGCACATAGATTGTCACCTCCCAGCTTTAAGTTTGTTAAGCTCAGTTGAAGTCTCATCAAAGGAACTTCAAGTTGTGTCCAGTACAAGTTAAACATGGCTTCTGCGGTGGATTGTGAGGTGGTGATTGAATTATTTAAGGGTCATGTTTCATCGGATATATGTATAGATAGACATATATTAATCTAAATAAACAAAGACAATGATTTATAATACTTCTCATCCTTTCAATGATTTTTGCTTGTCAAAATCTTTTGACAATTGAGATTTGTTAACACAGCCTAAATATTAAAAAACTTAATTTATTTTATTTAAAAGACGTAGGTTAGAAATTAATTAATTAATTAATTCAAACTTATTTTTGATAAATTTATTTTTTAAAATATATATATATATATATATATATATAATCTATTAGTTTTATTGCATTCTTATTACCATATAATGTTTGCACTTTTATTTATTTATAATCTCCATTAAAATCATTCAACCAACTAAACCTCAAATTAACAAAACATTAAGACAATGTTATATACATACAAATTAGTATAATATTCAAAAAGAATTATATTGTGTATAATGTATCTGCCAGATTCTAAGTTCAATACTTAAATTAATTTATAACAAAATATTAACATCTATAACATTAATTTATTATAACAAAACTAAATTAACCTACTTCATACTTAAATTGATCCAATTGTCTTCTATTTGCTCCTCCTGCATTGTCTAGGACTATGTACTCTCATAGATCTCTCAATTTTGCTCTAGATGATGTGATGATTATACAAGGGGGTGAGGGAAGGAGAATGGAACTCTTGGGAAGAGAAGGCAGTTGCTGAATTGTGAAGAAGAATTAGCAAAAGAGGTATAGCAAAAAGAGAAATATCTAAAGATGTCAAATAATAAAAAAATAATTAACATATATTTTGATAGAAGGAGGAATTGTATTTCACTAAATGTGAGTCAATTTAAGATTTAGGTGAGTTGATTTAATATCCTCCACATTGTTCGTTAATATTACGATGTGGACGGACAGTTAGAGTTGCACATAGGTAGCAAAACATTCTGTATTTATGAAATGTAAACCTCACAGAGAAAACAAAACAAAACATTGTTACACTCGTACTATAATATGAAATTCAGATTTTAAGAAAGAAAATTTTGTTAGACGTATGTATTGTTCTACAGTTCATGTATAAATGTGCAAAAATAACTGCATGATTCTAAAGCGCATTTCACAGTCTCTAGCAGTGGTGTCACAGAACTTTGAATTATCATGGTGCCACGTTCCACAGTCCTTGGCAGTAGTTCAACTCTCTTGTATGCACAGACATCGAAAATCTCACAAATGATTTCGTGGAGGCAGAAGGGTCTTCGCCGATGAACATTTGAATGTCAGTTTTGGCAATGCTACTTCAACGTTATTTGTCAGTTCCGCCATCAAATAACATAAAATGAATAAAAGATGGTTGTACTGTTGAAAGCAGACTCGTCAGGTTGTTGAAGTTGTTGATTCATTACTAACATTCTCACCCACAATCTTGAGACTCTACTGTAGAGTGTCATGCTTACACAAATACACATAAGGTCATTTCGTCTCAGAAATTTCTGTATCACAACAAGTAGAACATTGTGTGTAAGATTAGTTTCACTGTACGAGATTGAACACCTTTTTCATCAGAAGATGCTCCAGCAATGGATTCATAGGTGGCATTCGAAGGATTTAGCGCTCATGAACTTGGATGTAGATTTTGGTGACAAATGAACTGTGGTTGACAAGATCAACTGCAACTTTTGCTAGAGCGCCAACTACAAAGGACATTGCGTTTGCACAGCCAGACATGGGCACAGTAGACAGTGGACATTGATGGTCAAGATAAAACTGTATCAGTAGAAAATCATTGTTATTACTTCCGTGTTTTGAAGGCATATTACATACTCCTTGGAGTCCGATTACTCCGGGTTCAGTGGAGGCATGTTGCATGATCATGTTCCTTCAGAGAGACGATTGGGAAGATGTTTTTCAAGTTCATCACATACCGATGATCTGATTAAGGATGTTGATAAAGCACAATGATCAGAAAAGATTTAGTCTGATTAGACACATATTGTAGTAAGGGGAACGACGCAATCACCTACATTCATGCCAAAGTAGATCCGACTCGTTCCAAACTTCGCGTACATTCCTTCTGCAATCATTCCAATACATTTCGTTTATTTTTCCTTCTTGTGTGGTGAAGAGTGTACACTTTTCGACCTCAGGCATCTATTCGAATCAGAGTTTCGAATTTCGAGCTCGCAGAAACAATCATCAAGTTGGGGACAGTACTTCCATCTGCTTTAAAACCAGATCCCAGTTTTAGGGCTAGTGAATACGACTAAGTCACTACAAAAAAACAAAAAACAAAAAAACAAAAAAAGATACTTATAACCTGAGATAGAGGCCTAAGACCCGAGTTGTTACATCTTTCCCCAGACGGAGAGCACATTAAAAAGTGACAACGAGCGTAAGAGAGTCACAGTTGCGTTTTCGGGACTCCCAAAAAGGGACAGAGAATCCAGCATTAAAACCAAGAAATATACAAGCAATGTGCTCAGAAAGACGCATCCCCGTTCAGCGAGCACTGTAGATGCTCTCATACAAGAGGTGTCAGAAAGTTTGCATAATCATCACAGCACACCCCCTATCGACAGAGCCATCAAAACAAAACTATAACAGCCAAAGTTACAACACTCACTGACGATTACACGGATCCTTGCAGACTATTGAATCGTTCTTCCTACTGCACGAAAACAGCAATGACATAGCATTTACAGATAAGAGGCATCGCCATCGGTTTCACCTCAAACCGATACGAAGCGCATCTCCACTAATGAAACATGGTTGCATGTGCTCAACACAAAAGGTATCAAACACCCACTCTGGGAGAAGCAATAGATATCGTAAATATCGCACCACAGCAGCACTCCAACCATGTAAATTCGACAAACAGCACTAACTTCTGCGCGATCGAACAGATTGAACACAAACCCAGTTAGGGCAAACTCTAGAAGACGAAGCGAATGATCCTGGGGAGGACAAGGAGCGGAGTAAATAGGGTTTCGCCAAGTTGGTCTCGATACAAGACAGCCGTCAGATTCCGACTTGGAATGGGCGACTCCGCTGTGCTCATGGATGACGAGCATCATTCGTTATTGGATGTGCGATATTAGGGTTTCGTCCAACTCAGGAACGTTGAGAACAAGGAGTCAGTGAGCGAGTGAGGATGAAGAGGAATAGTGTTAAGTCGGCAGATGATGTGTAATGAAATGAGTCTCTGTCGAAACGGATGTGCAATTTCCCATCCACCACGATGTGTAATGAAATGTGTTGATTTCCTTTAGTTTCACTACGATTTTTTTTTTTCAATTTTTATCATATTGATAATATCTATGTATCTATGTATGGAAAGTGAAAAATATAAAGTATTTTGGGGGAATTTTTTTTTTTGATTTCTTGCCAGATCAATATTTACAAAGAATGGATGTATCAAGGTCGTGAAATTCAATGACGATTCTTGGTTATGTTAAACATGATTGTTTAGTGTATCAACTTTGTTGTCAAAGATTTTATTCAATAGTTGTGAGAAATATTCATAATTGAAAACCATGTTAGAATAAGTAGGGCATTAAAACTTGAGTCCATTCATCATCATGCAACAATTACATTTAGTTATGGTCCACATTTAGGGTTTAGGGTTTATGATTTTTATTTTATTTCAATGAAACAATTTTTACATGAAATCATAAATTTGAAAGAAAATTCCTCTTTTATTGAAACCCAATTAAATACTAACAACTAGACTGGTATATCTTATAAAAAAAATATTATAAGTATCCAATACATATAAACGATGCAATCAAAAGCATGCAAATATTTGAATCTATGTTCAATTTACCCAGCACACAAAAACAAATATGCAGTTTTTTGTCATAACATTCACAAAAATCAAAGTTCTCTGAGTTGGTGAAATGCTGAGATAAATGAGATTATTGTTGCAATAAGTTATATATAATAGTGATAATAAATATGATAGTATCTTATTCTATTTTCATAATAATATAAACCCTCGGTGTGTTAAGAATTAGGGGTGTTTTGAGGATAACCAAAGTTGAATTGCGACGATTTTAAAAAAATCCTGAGGCTTTCTGATGTCGTGACTTTTTTCACTGTAATACTTGGCGTGTTAACATTCCAAGTTATATTACTCTTGGGAATGTTTTGCTCAAAGATTTAGAATGAATTGTTTCTGTATTGCTGATTGTCACAATTTTCCAATGTTTGAATTTTGACGTGTCATTTTATTTTTACAATGGGCTTTGTAAGATTTTATTATCAAATTTATCACAGATGAAATCTCACAATAGCATGAAATACGTTGAAGAGAAAGACAAACGATTAAATTGTTTACTAGTTTTGGTGGTTATATATTTACAAGTTTTTATAAATATATAAATAGAGGTACATATTTTTATAGATTTAAGTGTACAATTCTATAAACATGATTTAAAAAAATTTAGAGTTTATAAAATGATTCTCGTGTGAGGTAGATGGTTCTCATATTTGAAATACTTCATGTTTTTGTTAGAAAATAAATACAAATATTTGTAAGATTGATTTTAGTTTAGTATGCACATATTGAAAGATGTTTTTAGCTTTCAGAACCAAACCAATGCATCACATTGATAAAGACTCAATCACAACAACAATGTTTGTGATTTCATTCAATTCCACAAGACTAAACCGAGACATAACCACACAAATTTATGACCGTAGAACACAAGAATTACACTCGAAGTTATGATGTTAGAATAAAAGCTTACAAACAATGAAGGTCTGACGTTGGATGATGTACGCATGACGAGCAGCATCCGACGTGTCTGCACAGGTGGACATATAGAGCCGAGCTGGCAGGGCCACGAAGCCAATAGGGAATGGGTGTGGTTAGTAAGAAGATTAGTTATTCGTGGATGAGGTTAGTGAGAAGATTAGGCCATAGTGGAAGGCAATTAACAAGGGGATGGGAGGGGGAGGGAGAGGAATCAGGTCTCTGGTCATTTCCCCGCTTACTCACTTTCCTCTTTTGTTGCAGATGAGCAGAAGTGCGCCTCCGCCATAGCCAGCCCCACCTTGTACCACCACAGTTGCTTGTAGGCGCTGGTGGATGCGTTGCTCCCCGTTTCCGTCTCCATGGCGCAGCAGCAGGTCGGCCCTCCTGGCGCAGGCCGTGGCCGCGGCATGACCCTCCCCGCTTGGATGACAGGTGCGTCGTTTGTATCTGCTCTTCCTTAATCATTTCGTTACGCGTAGGGTTTAGGGTTTGGCCCTGGGTTTGGGATGGACCAAGGCGTGAATCCGAATGGTTGCCGGATGTTTTCAGCTTCAAGTGCCTGGAGCCGTTCGGGAGCTCGTTTGCGGAGGAAGTTTCGGAGGTTCTCGTGAACGGCCGTGTGCTGGGGGATTAATGGTCGGATTTTGGCATTCGTTCGGTTCATTATGTTGTGCATTTAGTACTTGGTAGGAGACAAGATTCGGATATATATATATATATATATATATATATATATTTACCAGTGCAAGAATTGAAGGTTTCGAAGCGAAAGCGTGGGGTTGGAGCTTTGTTCACTGGCATTGCCATTTAGGCTTCAATTTGTGTCGGATAGTGTGCACCGCGGGGAAGCCGTTGTAGGTCGATGGTGCCCAATTTTAGGGTTTTTGTAGTGTTAATCGATATCGGGATGTGTGGAAATGACATTTCTGAGACGCTACTCTTGTTAAGGTCGCCGCAATGTTGTTCTGTTAAGGGCTGTATTTTAATAATTTAATGCGCTGAAGAGTAATGGAGGATCAGCTCATCGTCGTTACTCATGGTGAACTTCTGTGATCAGTGGAAATTTAACTCGCATTTTCTAATCCGCATTCATTATGTACCGGCTTGATCGTCCTTTTTTATGTGGATCAATTTTAGATACACTGTCAATGCTGATGTGATGCTTGGTCAATGATCTGTTGGGGAATAGGTGGTCCGCCCTCTCCAGGAATGCCACCAGGCGCAGGTCCACCACAGAGTCACCTTCAAACCAATCCAGGAGCCGTCGGAGCAATGGTGTGTGTGTGTGTGTTCTTCCTTAATAACTGTTCATCATTCAGCTCTATGTTTTTCATAAAATGGTTGCATTTTTAAAGTTAGATCGTTCTTTTGATGATCTGCTGCATGCCATTGTGTGAACAGCCTCCAAGGATGATGGGAATGGGTCCTTCCGGACCGTCCCCCAACTTCCAGAGTGCACCTCAAATGCAGGTATGGTTCGTAATGTGAATAATCTCTCTTGACCATTTATTTTCTTCGTCAACAGTACTGCCAAACATCGGATTATCCGACTGCTCCTCGATTTGCAAGTGCTTCTTAGTTTTCATACCTTTCCTTTGGACCGAATTTGTAGTATCGGCCTGGATGCCCTCCGCAGCAGGGGCAGCAGTTCATGGGTCCTGGTGGTCAGCAGTACCGACCTGGCGTGGGTATGGGACCTCCACAACAGTTAGGCATGCCTCCTAACATGCAAGGAATGAACCCCCAACAACCACAACAATTTCCTGCTCGGCCACCACCACAGCAACCTCAGGGACAACCATCTTCACAAGGCTCAGGGATGCCATTTGGGGTGCAGCAGAGACCCATGACGTCCACGCTTCAACCTCCTCAGGCTCAGCAACAGCAGCCATCATCCCACCAGCAGCAGCAACAGCAATCTGTGCCGCTACCTCCCGTTCCAGGCAATCATACATTGCAACCAGCATCTTCTTATCCTGTACGTGAACTAAATGGCATGTGGGATGGTAATCTGAATCAGTAGCTCCTGTCACCGTCTCATTCCCTCGTTTTCAACTTTCTTTGCTTTACTTTACTTCAATTTTGTGATTTATCTCGATAATTCTGTTTGACTTTGATTTTGGTAAAGTAGGAGACTGCAATATCTTCGACTAGGCATGGCCTGTTATTGTTTCTGCGGAAGTTTCATATTGTTATGAAGGCTGCTCGTGAGACTGCAGTGGGAATACATCATGTGAATAGTGCCTATCATATTTACTTTGTTCTACCTGATTCTACTGTTTGTTCTTTTTCGTGCTAAATTAGTTGAACGATCTGTGGATTTTCGGCAGTTCTCGTCTGCATCTTCCTTTTCTCAGCCTCCAGTATCATATGGCCTAGCTCCCCCATATCAAGTTCCTACTCAGCTGCAAAACCAGCAGCTTCAGCCTGTCAGCCAACCCTGGTCTGGGGTTGGAGGACAAACTAACGCTCAGTCTGTTTCACTGCAACCAGTCCAACCCCCGCTAGTATCTGTAAGTTGAAGCTCCTTCCCGCTGACTTTTAGTAACGACCTCGTCCTAGTTACCTTTTGATTAGGTTATCCAGCAAGACTTGAAACGTGAACGTTTTTCCGCTTGGGAGTTTCACAAGGTCATATTTTAAAACATCTTTTGTTCTCTTTCTGCTAGGGGATTTCGATTGCTGCCGCTTCATCCGGTGCTGCAGATTGGCAAGAACATGTAGCTCCTGATGGTCGTAGGTACGACTATACCCACTATTCGTATTTGTTGCACGAGTTATTTAGTTATCTAGGTATTGACTAGTATTCTCCTGGTTTTTGAGCTGAGCTATGAATTTTCTTTACTGTGATCATTTCAGATACTACTACAACAGAAGAACAAAGCAATCTAGTTGGGAAAAGCCTACTGAGCTAATGACTCCAACTGAGGTGAGAATAGCTCTTGCATATTATGTTCTACATTTGCGTTTCTGGGTTCCTCAAGTTTTACTCTTGCTTATTTTTGGTGGCCGGGTTTCTTGTTGACGAAGTTCATCCAGCCATAAGATTAGATATGTTATTTAACCTTTTTCAGCTCGACATATCAGTTTGGAATTTGGCATGATGTAACAGAATGATGTGTAAAGCAATATAGCAAAGACTCAAATATATTCGGTTAGTTTGAGATCAGTAGGAAGTTTTTGGGCGTGTCGACGGCATGTTTGAATCATTTTTCGTATTTATTAAGAGCTCATTGTAATATTGTATGTTTTACAGCGTGCAGACGCGTCAACTCCTTGGAAAGAATTTACAACAGCTGATGGTAGAAAGTAAGTAAAATATGGGTGCAATCTTGTTTGTGAACTTGGAAGTGCTAACATGTTACTATCCGCATCTGTATCCTTGGTGGTATGCTCGTGCCCAATTTGAGCATATAACGTGGTACGTGTAACCGATTTGTTTCAGGTACTACTATAATAAGGTCACCAAGCAGTCAAAGTGGACAATGCCAGACGAGATGAAGGTCAGCATTCTCTATTCTGTTCATCGAAGTTTCACTTGTCGAATGATCCGATTACTTGCCATCTTTTTATACTACATCTGAATCATCTATTGGGGTTGTGGTCACGCACTTTTGGTTACACAATGGTAGCTCAAGTCTAGGCCGTGTGATTGGCGTTTTGATCTCAACAGCTTTGTGTTATTGCCTTTAAATTCACCGGGAGGCACAGCTACATTCTCATATGGAGTATGTTAGTGAAATGATTCAGAGGGTTAGTTAGTGATGTGTTTGCCTGCTCGATGTGTGCAGCTTGCTCGTGAGCAAGCAGAAAAAGCTGCAGGATTACCCGTGTCCCAGCCAGCCGTGCTTACTTCCTCCACATCATTGAAACAACCAGCTTCTACAGGTGTGCATTCTTCTCAGACAACAAATTCAACTGGAGCTGCAACTTCCTCAACCCCTACTCTTATGGGTGCCGCTACAACAGCAAATTCGAAGTTGCAGTAATATTCGTCTACTCACTCATATATATATATATATATATATATATGGTTCTAATAAAGAATCTTGCTGTTTGAGGGGCATAGTAACTTGTATTTCAATATGTGTTTGTTGTTGATACTTATTTGTATCGTTGTTCGATCTGAGCTTACTTTCTCATTTTAATCAGGGTGGTGAGTGATGTAAAGAAAGAGCTGGAGGAAGAGGTTGCGGACGGAACTTCTGCTCAAGAGCTTGAGGTGTGCATTCGTTCACATTTTAGTTATTTCCCTTGTACATGGAACATCTTGATTTTTGATTTTTTAATCTTCTATGAAACGTTCTTGTCATATCAAGTCACTTTCATATTTTTCGTAAAATTCGGAGATTCTTTTGTACAATGACAGAATTTCCGCTTGTCTAATTGATAGCTGGGTGTTCCAGGAGGCCAAGAAGGTGATGGTAGTTACCAGCAAAGTTAACATCTCCCCTGTCCCAGAGGAGAAACCTACACTTGTTTCTGAGGAACCACAAACCTATGCCAGCAAGACTGTAAGTTTTGATACATTCATACCTATGTGGAGTGCTGATAAGATGTATTCTGTGTGCTTGTACAGTTGAATATTTATGAACTTGAATTACCCAGGCATTTTTTTATGCCCTCTTGATTCGATGTATCTATTTTCCCAGGAGGCTAAGAATGCATTTAAGGAGCTACTGGAGTCTGTCCATATTGAGGCAGACTGCACATGGGAACAGGTCATTTTTCTTACAAATGACATAACAACTTGTCGTTTTTGTAACTAGTAACTTGCAAGTGGGTTTGGTGACCGAGTCTGTTTAATACTCCCGTAGATGAAACGATGAACTATTCACATCTTCAATCACTAGTTATACTTGGTGAGACCAGTAATTCATTTATTTAATTTTGCAGGCTATGCGAGTTATTATCAACGATAAAAGATATGGTGCTCTGAAAACTCTGGGAGAGCGCAAGCAGGCCTTTAATGAGGCAAGTTCTTCTTAGAAGTCATGTAATTTTTGAACGTTTGCATTTAGTAGCGGGCTCAATAAATTTGCTTAATTGCACAGATCACCCTTGCCATGTCCTGTTGCTCCTGTCCTGTTGCTCCTGTCCAAGTATTTCCATAGGTTCTTTACGCAACCTATGCAGATATTGGTTTTCTAGTTTGTCCGCTAGAAGTTGTGCTTTGGTGATGAACGATTCGTTTTGATCATTGACGATATGTGCCTCTGCCCAATCTTGCAGTATCTTGCTCATCGGAAAAAACAAGAGAGTGAAGAGAAACGCGTGAAGCAAAAAGTTGCAAGGGAACAATTTCTTACTATGTTGGAGGTAGCCTTTTTCTATTTTTGATTTGTTTACCACTTCATACTCTCTCTTTGCAGAGAAAGTAGGATATATTGGCTTAACTAACTGCGATTTAAAAAGCTGATCATTAGACATATAACCAAATGATACTCTCTATTTTTTCAGGAATGTAAGGACTTAACATCATCCATGCGGTGGAGGTATGCCTCCTAACATGCCAACCTGGGATTTAAGTTTATTAGTTCGGATTCAAATTTAACTGCGCTAGTCTTATTCGTGCAACTTTGAACTGAGGTGAAGGGTGCTAGTAAAGCGGAAAGTTACGTGTTGATTCTCAATTTGTATCGGGTGATGCTCAATATTGCAGCAAAGCTCTTTCGATGTTTGAAGATGATCCGCGGTTTCTAGCAGTTGAAAAGGACCGAGAACGAGAGGAGCTTTTTGAAGATTACATGATAGATTTGGAGCGTAAGGTATGCTTAACTTGATCAAGCAAGTATAATGAGTAATTTTTCTTAATCAGTTGACAGCTTTCTGTAATCAAAACTAATTACTACGAAGTTGGACAACTCTGTGTTAAAGTCTTGTTTGATTACGCTACCCTGACAAAATCTTAGTTTTGATGCTTGCAGGAGCGAGAGAAGGCTCGGGAAGAGAGAAAGAAGCATATATCCGAGTACAGAAGCTTCTTGGAAAGCTGTGACTTTATAAAGGTGTAGCTCAATGCACTTTATTTTTCTCTGAGGTCCACTGAGAACAATTGAAGGCATTGGTTTGATTTTCAATTTTGGGTATATAAAAGCTAATTGTTTCCGCTTGGTGAATGAATAGGCAAACACACAATGGAGAAAGGTACAAGATCGGCTTGAGGACGACGAGCGCTGTTCTCGTTTGGACAAATTGGATCGGTTGGAGGTTTTTCAGGTGCCTATTGTGTTGCATGTTATCTTATAACCGACATTGTACACATGTTGAGGAGTTGATATTCTATCTTTATTTCTGTTATTTAGTAGGAATATTAAGTTTGAAAATATTTGATTATACGTTTAGAAACATTTTTTTCATGGTAACTTGATTATCTGCTGCCAGGAGTACATCCGAGAACTTGAGAAGGAAGAAGAGGAAGAAAAGAGAAAGCAAAAGGTTCAATCGTAGACTTGACATGCCTGATATCTAGTTCATTGCAATTTTGTTCATATCGGTCCTGAATTGTTATGGATCTCTGCGTAATTTTTTTGTATGTTTGAAGAATGTTGAGCCGTTTTTCTTCATGCCTTCAGGAGCAACTGCGCCGCAAAGAGCGAAAACATCGTGATGAGTTCAGAAAGTTGATGGATGAGCATAAGGCAGCTGGCATTCTTACTGCAAAGACTGCGTGGCGAGATTACTTGATGAAGGTATTTTTTTTAGGACGGGCTATGTGCACATCCTCACGTGTATATTTGTCGGCTTTTTTCAACTTGCTCGCTTCCTACAGGACTGCTTGACATGTAATCTGGGCACAAAATTTCCCTGGGATGCTCTCGAATCGTCGTTGGGAAATATGCCCATTGATTTGCTTACTAGCAATATTCCTCCCGTGGATGCTTATTTGTTGGATCCACAAGTAGAGGTGTTATCAACTTTTGCTGAGACTAGTCCAACTTGAACGAATCAGCTTTCGATTGCGTTACGGTTCTGCAGAAATTTTTGGGCATTTCTATCTTAGTTTGCAACTAGGTTTTCAAGCAGATATTTCTATCCTAGTCATAATTTGGCACTGGTTTCCTTGTGTTCTTGGTGTCATCATATCGTTTTGTAATTGTTCAGGTGAAGGACAATAGTGCTTATCAAGCTGTAGCCTCGAATACTTCTGGCACTACTCCTAAAGAGTTGTTCGAGGATGTCATTGAAGAGCTTGTCAAGCAGGTATGTTAGTCTTTTGGGAGAAGTAAATAGTATTTTTTGCGTTTGTTTGGGATCTTATTTTGTTACGAGATCCGCAGTAAGGTGCAACTTCTCTCACGTCTTTGTCGAATATCGCTTATTGTCTTGTGCAACGTGTGAGGTTCGCGGTACAAGTATGACTATAATTGCAATCGAATATGTTATGACGTCACGTATGTATTGTAAGCGTGATTTGTTAATGAATCAATCCTTTTATTTCAAGTGTATGGTCTTTGTTTATGTGCTGTGGAAAGTAGTGATTTGTATTAGAATGTTCCATTTGATAGATTTTACAGCTTCAACTCATCACTAATGTATTTTTTTATCTAAGTGGTCCCGATGTGAAACTATCTATTTTGTACTTGATAAGAAGCATAATTCACTATCCTGCTACTTACAAAATCAACCTGCATGCTGCAGTATCATGAGGACAAGGCGCGGGCAAAGGACGTCATGAAAGCCGGCAAGGTAAGAATTTACTTTGTCGATTGCTCATTATAATGTTATTGTTTGATATACTACATGGTAGTGAGAGGAAAGATTGTTTCTTCGAATTTGTATTCCGTTTTGTTTACCAATGTCTGCTTTCATACATGTCATTCTTCCCTCCAAATTTCTTCCTTCTTGCAAATTGCATGTATTATTTTTCATATGGTTTGATCCTCTTCAACCATAAAGCACATGCTGAGTATAATATGAAACAATTTTTTGACACAGATAAGCGTCGGAGCTACATGGACTTTCGACAAATTCAAGGCTGCATATGCTGAAGCAGGTGACTTGGCGGCGATAGCTGAACCAAACCTTAAGGTTAGTGACAACTTTATGTATTTGTGGTTAGACTGATACCCTTTGCTGTACACCAGAATTATGGTGTGTGGCAAAGGTAGCAACCAATCCGTGTAGAAAATTACTCCTGGAGCGGTGTTGTGCGGTGTCTTGGCTACCTCCATCTTGGGTTCGGATGCTGAGCAGTTCTGGCTTCAGAAGGTATAATATGGTGGGTACCTGTGTCGTGAGATCTCTTTGCTCTTTATTCTTCATGTGGACAAAATGCAGTAGTCCATGCGGTTTTGGAGGTGGGCCTGTTGGTTTAGGGAATCTTTACTTATTAAATGTTGCGTTCAATTTGGTGAAAGAACAGGTCGAAACGCAGTTGAGTAGCAGTTGAAACATGTTTCGTTCGCAATGAGTGCTTCTTATTAGGATTTACCTTCTATTGGTGGTTCATTTTCTTCCTGGTTTTGATGGATCAATATGCGTTGCTTTGGAATTCGTCTAATATGAACGCTTATATAGATGGTGTGTATTGTTATTGTTTGCGTGATACTTCAAAGACTTGTGGGTTGTGTTGTTTATGCTTTTGTGATAACTTGTTCGGTCTCAATGTGCGTTTGGTAATATTAATTTGGAGACGAGCAAATTTGTGTATTTGAATATATATGACAATGTCATAGTAAAAGATTACACGGTTAATGGAGCATCGTATTGCAAACTCTACTAAGAGAGAATCCGCTTTTAGACATAAAAATTGGAAGATACTGCTTTCTTGCTTCTATGTGAATGTCGTCAAACTTGTATTGACGTGGTCAAAGAGAGTTTTCTGTTCATATGAATTCAAGAAAGTTGATATACTGTGCTCGTACTTGTGGGTGTTGTTTTGGGCCCAGCTTGTCTTTGAAGATTATGTAGAAAGAGCGAAAGAAAAAGAGGAGAAGGAAGCTAAGAAACGCCGTAGGATGGCAGATGACTTCACAAATTTGTTGCGGTCTACGAAGGTATTTGCACATTTCTGAAGCATATTACACTCGGTTGATTATTATGTGGTAAGCAAGAGCGAAGGCTCTTTGTTTAAGTTGCTGCGATCCACTCTACACAACTTCAAGTTTTGCTGCTTTCTATTCGTAGAGGCAGGTTTGTGTATTCACTTCTCGCTCAGCGCTATATCCAACCAGCATAACTGTTCTGATTGTGGTACTGCAGGCTGTGACTTCATCATCAAAATGGGAAGATGTCAAGCTTCTCATAGAAGTTTCTCAAGAGTACAGGTGAAACCCTCTGCCTATAGACGCGTAGAAACACACCCATTTGAGATGAACTTCCAGCTGACTCTGGTTTTCATTTTCTTTATTTAGGGCTCTATCGGATGATGGTCATCGGAAGAAATTATTTGAGGAGTATGTGTTACACTTGGCACATAAAGCAAAGGAGAAGGAAAAGAAGCGAGCCCCGAAGAAAAGGTTAGTTCATTAGGTTTAATGATTATGGTCACCTCATATGT